CTGATTCCTCATTATTGATATAAATTTGTATTGTTGTCTATGCATTTGAAAGAGAAAAATCCTCTTTCAGCCTTTACAGACTGGCTTAGGCAGGTAAAGGCCTTCTTCTCTGAGGTCCACAGGCTAACAGGATTGCTTCCAGGATCATAGTCAAGTAGAGTTGGAGCCCGATCATGTAGCTACTGCTAAGTTTATAGTGGGGTCTTCACTCTTCAGTTGGTAGGCCAAAGTACATGGACTGTAGTCAGTGTGGGTCCTGTCTGGTCTTTGGGGGAACTGAATTACCTCCAGGACCTTGATCACTAGAGTTGGCATTGGAATGAGGGTCTGCCTCAGAATCCAGACAGTGGACCCTTATCAGGTACACAGATCCCTTTCTCAGGATCCCTGAGAGGACTCCCAATGGGTCATTTGTGGAGTCCCTGGGCAAGAAATACAGGCCTAGGACTGTGCCTGAGAGAGCTTAGTACCAAGTCACAGGGATACTTCAGAGTCCACAGCCAAGACCAAGCTCTGCAGCCTCCCTCTGGGGCCATGGGCAGACATGTCTCTCATTTGGTCTCTTTTCAAACTGAAGCTAAGAGGTGATGAAGTTGAGTTTTGGAGTAGTTTCAGGATGTGCTATAGAACTGAAATCAGCAAGACTGTTCTGGCAATTCACATGGACATATTTCCCTTTGCATCCTGTGCAAATAGGCTTACTCTCAGACTGTAGTTGAGAGAAGCTAAAGCTGAATTTCAGGGCCATTTCAGGGTCCATAACTGGGACAGAGATTGGCACTTATGTCTATAACTTGAGACATGAGTGGGTTTGGCTCTTCCCATTTCACCCAGGTAGTAGCAGGATCAAGGCCAAGTGTACAAGTAGCCAATTCCACAGGGGGATGTAACAGTTTTCTGGTCTGGAGCAGAAAACTCACTTGGTGATTCTACTACCTGAGCATGGGTCTGCCTTCTCAAAATGCCCCTCTTAGGTATTGTGGTCCTTTTCTCTTTCACAATTTCCTATCTGAATACCAAGGCTCCCACAAAGGCACTTTTGTCCATGGATCACTACAAAATTATTTTGGCTGTGGAAAGATATGAATGGGGGACCTTCTCTTGCTTTCTTGCTAATGTCACTCCTCTCTATTATACTTTAATATACAACACCCTCGAACCCTTTTCCGTCAATTTTCATTTTCAATATTTCCCAGGCTATTCTTGCTTATTTATTTTTCTGAATAAATTTTAAATTCAGCTTACCTTCTAGAAAAGCATGCATATTTTATTGTGATTAAGTCATATTTATAATTTAACATAATAAAACTTGGGAGAATTGACATTGTCCTATACCTATACAGATCAAATATCCCATACAAGAATATTTTATTTCTTGCAGCCCAAGTTCAGTGGTTCATGCCTGTAAACCCAGCATTTTGGGAGGCTGAGGAAGGAGGATCACTTAAGCCCAGCACCCAGGACCAGGCTAGCCAACATAATGAGACTCTGTCTCTACAGAAAATTTTAATGATAACAAAGAAAGAAAGAAAAAAGGAAGCACAGTTTTCTTTCTTGCAAACGCTTTTCTTTTGTTCAACTATACTCTTCTGCCTTTCAAGAACATTGTGTTGAATTCCTTGTCATTTTTCCCCTCCACATTGTCTATCATCTTTGTTGATTTTTGTTTCTGTATGAGGAATTTTCCTTTATTGTACCATTTAATTGGTTATTGTCTACATGTATAAACATCCTGCATTTCAATGAAACCGAATTTTCTTCATGGTAGTTGATTTTTTTGCTGTATGAGGAATTTTTTTATTCGTTGTATCATTTAACTGCTTATTTTCTATGTATATAAATATCCTGCATTTCAATGAAACCAAATTTTCTTCATCACAATCCATATTTGATTATAAATATACTTTTTCAGAATTACATATTAGCTTGGCCTTTCCATATGATTGAATTCCATTTTTTTTAATTTTGCACATTTTTTTAAACCTTAGCAAAAATTATTTGGCTTTTCCTACTTTAATTTATAGGTAGAAATGTATGTTGGAAAACGCAGTTCTGTATGCAGTCTTTTGACCCCCTCTCAGTCACATAAGAATGGAGCACTTTCTAACCAACAATGAAGAGGCCTCACCCCCTACGCCATACTTAACACCTGGAATATAAATATCTTTTCTGGTTTTAAACTCAATGTTACTTCTTTGTTCTACTTTAGCATGTGAATTATATGACACCTGGCCAACTACACTACTATGTCTGTCCCCTGTTGAGAGTGAACAGAGTCCTGTCGTAGCACAAGAAGAGTGTTCAGGCTAATTGCCCCATGTCAATTCCTAGGGCCTGCTGGCCATAGGAGACCAATGCCCACTGCTGAAGCTGATTTACTGTGTCTCTTCTCTTTGTGAGTTAAGTGTATCCACCCAGTGCTTGACTGCACTGTGATTTCATTGGCAACTCCAATACTCAGATGCAGTAGGGAGAAGTGTTCCAACTTCTCCTTCTGATAACAGGCCACAGACACAACTTGTTTAACAATATGCCATTGCATATGTTGAGGTAGAAGATTTTAAAGTCTATGAGAAGACTCTGAACAAAGTTCTTATTAATATCTTTAACAAAGTTTTAAAGTTGATATAGTGTATTCAACAGGAGTATTGGCTTGGATTCACTTTGTTAAATAGAGAAAGGTAAAATGTATCCAAAAAATAAGGTCAAAAAAAAGGTTATAGTTTCACAATTTTTTTTTTCAGATGGCATTTCACTGTTTTTGCCCACACTGGAGTGCAATGGCACGATCCCAACTCACTGCAACCGCCACTTCCTGGATTCAAGTGATTCTCCTGCCTCAGCATCCCGAGTGGCTGGCATTACAGGCATGTACCACCATGCCCTGATAATACTTTATTTTTAATCAAGATGGGGTTTATCCATGTTGGTCAGGGTGGTCTCAAACTCCTGACCTCAGGTGATCCAACAGCCTTGGCCTCCCAAAGTGCTGTGATTAGAGGTGTGAGCCACCATGCCCAGCCTAGTTTTACAATTTTTACCAGCCAGAGAATGTTGATTTTTTGTGATGAAAGAAATACTTTCTAAACATATAATTTGAACCATGATTTAAGAAATGATAATGGCAAAAAGAAAACTTTTATGTTAGGTTCAAGAAAACGTGAAGTTTTGTTACATAGGTAAATTTGTTCATGGGAGTTTGTTGTACAGATAATTTCATCAGTCAGATATTAAGCCCAGTACCCAATAGCTATCTTTGCTGCTCCTCTTCTTCCTCTTACCTTACACCCTTAAATGGATTCCAGTGTCTCTTGATTCCTTCTTTGTGTTCATAAGTTCTCATGATTTAGCTCCTACTTACGGGTGAGAACATGTGGTATTATTTGGTTTTCTATTCCTGTGGTAGTTTGCTAAGGATAATAGCCTTCAACTCCATTCATGTTCCTGCAAAAGTCTTTTTTTATGGCTGCATCGTATTCCATGGTGTATAGTAACACATTTTCTTTATCCAATTCGTCATTGGTGGGCATTTAGATTGATTCCATGTCTTTGCTATTGTAAATAGTGCTGCAATGCATATTAACGTCTTTATCATTGAATGGTTTATATTCCTCTGGGTATATATCTAGTATGGGATTCCTGGGTCAAATGGTAGTTCTGCTTTTAGCTCTTTGAGGCATCGCCATATTGCTTTCCACAATGGCTGAACTAATTTACACTCCCACCAACAGTGTATGAGTGTTCCCTTTTCTCTGAAACCTCACCAGCATCTGTTATTTTTTTACTTTTAGTAATAGCCATTCTGACTGACGTAAGATGGTATCTCATTGTGCTTTGGATTTGTATTTATCTAATGATCAGTGATATTGAGCTTTTTTCATATGCTTATTAGCTGCTTGTATGTCTTCTTTTGAAGGTGTCTGTTCATGTCATCTGCCTACTTTCTAATCAGCTTGTCTGTTTCCCTCTTGTAAATTTCTTTAAGTTCCTTATGGATTCTGAATATGAAACCTTTGTCAGATCCATAGTTTGCAAATATTTCCCCCCATTCTGTAGGTTGATGGTTTCCTTTGCTCTGAAAAAACTCTTTAGTTTAATTAGATCCTATTTGTCAATTTTTGCTTTTGTTGCAATTGCTTTTTGCATCTTTGTCATGATGCAAAGACGTAGGCATCTTTGCCCATTCCTGTGTCAAGGATGTTATTGCATAAGTCATCTTCCAGAGTTTCAGAGTTTTGAATTTCACATTTAAGCCTTTAATCCATTTTTGAGTTAATTTTTGTGTATGGTGAAAGGAAGGGGTTCAGTTTCAGTCTTTTGCATATGGCCAGCCAGTTATCCCAGCACTGTGTATTGAATAGTCTTTTCCCCATTGCTTCTTTTTGTCACCTTTGTCAAAAATTAGATTGTCGTAGAAATGTGGCCTTATTTCTGAGCTCTCTATTCTGTTCCATGGTTCTATGTGCCTGTTTCTGTATCAGTGCCATGTTGTTTTGGCTACAGTAGCCCTGTAGTATAGTTTGAAGTCAAGTAACATGATGCCTCCAGCTTTGTTCCTTTTGCTTAGGATCACCTTGGCTATTTGGGCTTTTTTTGGTTTCATATGAATTTTAAAATATTTTTTTCTATTTCTCTGAAGAATGTCATTGGTAGTTTGATAAGAATAGCATTGAATCTGTAAATTGCTTTGGGCAGTATGGCCATTTTAATGATATTGTTTCTTCATATTTATGAGAATGGGATGCTTTTCCTTTTGTTTATGTGTTCTCCAATTTCTTTGAGCAGTGTTCTATAATTCCCATTGTAGAGATCTTTCACTTCCCTGCTTAGCTGTATTTATTAGCTGAATAAAATTTCCAGGTGTTTTTTTTTTTTTTTTTTTTTTTTTTTTTTTTTGGTGGCAATTGTGAATGGGTGTGTTTTCCTGATTTGGCTCTCAGTTTGTCTATTGTTGGTGTATAGGAATGCTAGTAATTTTTCTACATTTATTTTTTTATTCTAGAACTTTGCTAAAGTTGTTCATCAGCTGAAGAAGCTTTTGGGCCAAGACTATGGGGTTTTCTAAATATTGAATCATGTCATCTGCAAATAGAGACTGTTTGACTTTCTCTCTTCTTATTTGAAGGCGGCTTTATTTCTTCCTCTTGCATGATTGCGCTGGCCAGGACTTCAAATGTCGTATTGCATAGGGGTGGTGAGAGAGGGAATCCTTGTCTTTGGCTGGTTTTCAATGGGAATGCTTCCAGCTTTTGCCCAGGTAGTATAATGTTAGCTGTGGGTTTGTCATAGATGACTTAAAAACAATTTTTCAAAAGATGATTCTTTTAGGCCCTTTGGCTTTCTAGATCTAACAATCATTAACAAAATTAAAGTAAAAATCACTGGAAAAAGTCAAACATTGCTTTTTTGAGATTGTTTAATTTTTTTTTAATCTCCAAATGTATTGGATAGAAATTACTATCAATAAAGACAATATCTCTACAAGCAACATATTTTTAATTACCTTTGCCTTTATTTAATGCTCTTTTGCCCTTATTCATTTAAAAATTCTATCTAAATTCATACATGTAAATTTAAAGAAACTTGGTTTTCCTTATAGGAATATAACCTGTAAATAAGTCCTGATATTACGTGGTATCTGCAGAGTTCACTATGCACTTTTGCTTATAATGCCTGCTGCCTCAAGTTCTCTGGAGCTTGGTTAATGTATCTGTTTATTAGTCATGTTTACAACTGACTTTCCATGACTAGAACTGGACTCGGTGTTATACTAGTGACTTGATAAAGAAGTAGGGCAGAGCTTACCTGTGTTATATTTCCAAATGTTTTAAGTGCTAGAATTCTTGCCTTCCAGAAATCCACTAACTCTGTCTAATGAGAAACATATACAAACAGTTAAAAAGAGATTTAAGCACATCTGTAAAATTATATTACTATACATGAATATATAACAGTATAATAGACTGTGAAAAAGTTAATCTTTGCTTTTTTAGATTTAAAGGATATATGTCTTGTAGATTTAAGATATTTTGAAACACAATTCTGGCTATGAAGGATGTCCCAATATAGCACCCAATCCATATATAAGATATGGATTAATTTGTACATGTAAACTGGACATTGGAAGGGAAAGAAGATGACTAGTAAGGAGGAGATGCAATAGGAAATAACACTCTCTCTTCAGACAGACTCTTAATCTTCCCTGGTGGTCCCCACTTTGGAAACTGCACTTAAATATAGGTGATGAAGTTCACTGGACTGTAGTACATAATTCTATTCAGCCCATTCATACCCTTTAGGGAGAGGGCGGAAGATAGTTTAGCTGAAGGGTGCCTCTGCTCATTTATTCCACAATAGACACAGCTTGATAAATTGAGCTAATCCTCTATAGAAATGTTCCAATCACCTTTGTAATTACTTACTATATGGAAACACAGTGAATGTGGCCTTAATTATAGTGCTATAAGATATGAAGTCTGAGCTGCATTGTTATCTGTGTAAAATGGAAAGACACTGTGTATTCATAAAATCAAAGATTATATTTAGTGGGAAATGGTTTTGAAGGTCATAAGCAAACCTGCAAATTAAAAGTCACTGATAAGACCAACCCTCACATTTCCCTTTCAGTATAATAGGGTAAATTGTTAGATATAAAAGTCATATTTCCAGTGTCAGCATTTGAAATCTGTTAAATTTGACAATGCTGAAATTCTTAGTCACATGAAAATTTTAAAATTGGGTTAGTATCCTTAGCATTTTCTCCCTTAAACGGTCTACATGATTCTGTGTATCAGACAAAATGGAGAAGCTCTAAATTAAGGCCAGTGAATTAATAATTCTGATTTAGAGCAGAGGCAATTTTAGCCTGGCTAATTTTTCATATCTGCTCAATTAACCTCATAGTGCTTTAGAACAAAAGGCAGCATGATGAGTATCATTTAAATTAAACAAATGTCATTTATCTGTCAAGGTACTGACATATCAGCCACTCCAAGCCAAAACCACAGTATCAAATGAAGTGGACAAGCAGTAGGCCACTGGGATTTAATTCTCCAGCATTTGAGAAATCATGCATAGCAAAATATGTGAGGTTTGCTATTTAATGAGCTCTTTGAGATCACCTAGAAAAGCAAGACTAGGTTATCTACCAAGTAGCATTTCTAAAATACCTAGTTATATACTGTGACCCTTGTCACTAGGGAGAGGCACTTTCTTCTGAGACTGATGTAAATTATTTCTAATTAAATATAGACCTCTCATTTTACATCCAAGGCATTTATTTTCAGAAACTGGAAAACAGATATCATTACGGGGTTGCCTGAAAAACTTTCTATTTAGCAGCTATAGTCACCAATGATGCTTTCCTTATAAAGCATTTCAGTTCCAACAGATACAACACTTGAAAAGAAATTAATTGAATATCATAATTTACTAGAAAAGAGAGTGAATTACTCCTACTCAGCATTCATACTCTTCAGATGGACAGGCATTATACATTTTAAAATCATTATCTATGTTTTGATAGTCAATAGCTTATTATATTCTGATCTCTTCTTCAATAATTTTTTAAAAGTCTATCAAATGCAATTTAGAATAAAGTTTAACTCAATAATCATTTTGTAGATACCCAACTATATTTTGAATTTTAGGATAAAATATCAAAATGCATTTTGTCACAGAGCCATTTTTTATCTCTGTTCAATAGTAAGAAATTTTCTTCAAAAAATTTCTATTAAACTATGAGACCACATAGCCAGCCCATGAGAAAGGCTGACTAAAATCTAGATGTGTGTAGTGAATATGACTAATGAACAAGATGAGGCAGGAAGGTAGGTGCCCTTACTGAACAAGACCTATCAGCTTCCTGAGTTTGGTCTAAGCTAGGGAGGTAAGACATCAGAAGAGAAGGACGATGATCTGTTTCTCAGCATTGCCCCCAAATAAGTCCTATAGAATCACATTCAACACAGCAATCAAGATTCTACAAATTAAAATGTACCACTCTAAATTTCTGTGAAATATTGACTGCCATTTAAAAAGGCATCCCGATTTGGAGATGACAGTTATTCTGCTGCTGAGGAACATAAGCATTAATCATAGAATTTCAATTGGTTCCTATTGTAGTGTTTGGGGCTTTGAATACTGGAAGCATCAGGAGCACCAGCCATGATCTCCTGATATCAGAAAAAAAAGTGGTCATTTAGAGGATTTGGGAACTGACTTACCACTTTGGATAGCAGCAATATTTCAAGATAGTACCAAGTTAGGAAAGGAGGAATGAAGAATTTCATCTTTGTATGTTAGAGATTGCGCTCTCTTAGCATATCTCAGATAATCACTCAAAGGTGATTCCGGAACCACTGGGGATGAACTTGCACAGGACTACAATCTCTAAGGGATCACTGGGGACAGAGCTAGAAAACTTCAGAGCTGTGGGTGGTGCTGCTGTGTAATTTCTTTTTCCCAAAGAGTGTGAAGTCAGAAATAAAAATTTGTCCAGAAAATTTGTGTTTTCATTTATTTCTCTGTATAGGCTAGCACATAAAGGCTAAAATTATTTTTAAGACTGTTTAGGGTCTTAGTAAAATGTCAAGTGCTGAGTCTATCTCTTAAAATCAATCCTTCCCTAAAGATTTGAGCAACACTGAATATCTTAAAGATATTCAAGTGTATGTTTTTCAAATTTCTACTAATATGTGCTAGTATCACCTTCCCCCATTTAATACTGGAAGTAAATGGTGAAACATTAAAATTTTAAATAACCTATGTTTTTACCAATTACTAGAAACCACAATTATTTTTACCACATTCTACATAATAATTTGTATTTTTTTCCACTTTGGATTTATAGGGCAAAATTACATAGTTTGAATTAGATATTCACTTAGGAATAGATTTAAATGTTTATGTTATTCAGAAAGAAGGGCTTATATAAATATTATAATACTCAGGACAACAAAAGATAAACTATCTCAAAACACTGGGTCTTCATTTCTTTGTATGGCTCAGAGTATTATTTCCAAATGACACTCATTACACAAATATATTATCCTGAAAAGATGGCATATTCTACATTGCATATTTTGTTCAGAGATTACTTTGTTAGCTAGGAAGATAGTAAAGCTAAATTTCATGAATATCAAATAGGAAATAATTCAAATTTGATAGGGTAGGACAGTGGGAGTTATAGTAAGAAAACACAAGAATTGCAGGTGAGTTCTTGCCTGATTATCAGGCAAAAAAACATGAAACCGGAATAAGGGAACATTTTTAAAAATGAGTAGAGATTTTAGAGTTATAAATTACATAAAAATATTAAAATCTTGTACTTAATGACTAATACATTTTATTTTTTATGCCAATCCTGATTTGTATTTTTTTTCTGTTTTAAGAAATATCTAATGCTGTATTCAGGTCAAATGGAAAAACATACTGGAATCAATTATTGATGTGTTTCATTGATAAGAGAGATAGTTGGTAGAGCAGCAGGACGGCATGTTTGACCTCCCTCGTATCGATATTCTTCTGTGAAAAAAAAACTCAAAACATCAGGAATTCAGTAATTCAGTTTCTCAATTATGATTCTATTATAGATCTTAGTTCTATAGCAAGCTGGGTTCTGCAAGATTTTGCATTTAGACACTCCTTCTGCTCTGAGACACATAGCAGTAATAGATAGTTAAAAAAAAAAAAAAACAGATGAGAGAAGGAACATAATCGGGCTTATAAAACAGTCATGTTTCTGTGAACCAAATGGAACAGAAATGCATTTGGGTTGTGAAGTGAGCTGAGCTATAAGCAAGTTGGCCTTCATGTTGTTTAGAAGCAAGTAGACAGGCCCAGCATGAACTGCCTCAAAGTAACAGACATAAAAGTTGCTTTATGCAAGGCAAGGGCTCAGAGTCAAGTTGATACTTGAAACGAAGATGGAGACTGGCCTCAAGGGTTCAGTAAAGAAGGCTGAAGAAATCTACTGCAAACCTTTACCTGTGGCTATTCTTAAGTGAGGCTGCTGGCTCACAGATGCAGAAAGAAAGGCAGTCTCACGACAGAAACTCAACAGCCCACTTATTAAATCAGTGATCAAGTTCTAAAAATTTTCCAATATCATTGCACTGGAGGAGCACTAACCTGTCAATAACAGGCCTGGTGAGGAATTTGGAGTCTAAAAAGATGTGAATAGTTGAAAAACCAACAAAAGGTATGTAAAGTTGAAAGAAAATAAGAGAGAAAAATAAGCCTTCAAACAAAAATGTAAATAGGAGAAGATAGCTAATGTTAGGAGAGACAGAAAATGAAACCAATCCTGGCTAGATTGATTTATTCAGATGAAATTAATATACGAGAAATTTTGATAAAGCTTTTGAAAACATGGTATTTAAGGAAAACAGAGATTATGGAATATACTTTTAATGGTATAAATGGTATAAAATGAGAACAGGCAGAAATAGGACAAGAAGAAGTGAAAGTGTAGAAAAGAGGGAGAGATATAAAAGGAAGAAAAGGGAGACTGAAATGAAATACCCAACAGTAATTCAGATCTACATGAAGAAATAAAGAACTTCAAAAACCATAGCTACAAAGATAAAAATAGATATCCATAGTAATGTAGTTTGGGTTTACTCTTTATTCCCTATATAAAGAACAAAAGCATAAAACAATAAGTATAAATGTATGGTGATGGACACAAAATATAGAAACACGTAATTTGTGACAATAAATAAAGAGGTAGTACAGCTACGTAGGAGCCAAGTCTGGTACACTATTGAAGGTAAAGTGGCACTTGTCTGAGCTAAATTGTTATAAATTGACACATCAATTACAATGCTCAGGCAACAGCTAAGAAAATAACTAAAAAGTCCGTAGTACAACAAATGAGAAAAGGAATTGAAATGGTACAATAGAAAATATTTATCTAATAAAAAGGAAGACATTTTTATCTAGCCAATAAAAATGGAGAAATTGAGTAACAAAAAGACGTAAATGAATGGCAAAATGGCAGAAGTAATTTCTCTTTTGTTAGTAATTACAACAAACAGATTAAATGCTCCAATTTAAAGGCAGAGACTGGAAGAATGGCTTTTAAAAAATTATCCATCTATATATTATTTATAAAAGACTCACTTTAGATCCCAAAACCCAAATAATTTAAAATTGAAAGGTGGAAAAATATATCCCATACAAATGGGAACCAAAAAACAGCTGTATTGGCTATAGTAATGTTAGATAAAATATATTTAAATACAAAAATTATTATAAAAGACAAAGAAGGACATTATATTCATACCCCCTTATCATGGGGATAAGTTCAGATATCCCCAGTGGATTCCTGAAACCACTGACAGTACTTATACATAGTGAAGAAATAGGTTTTTTTCTTCTTCACAGCTTTACAGATATAACATTCATTTTTACTGTAGATCTTAGAAACCTCAGCATGCAATTTTTTTGTTATTAAATCTATTGCTTTCATCTTTAAACTTAAAGGAAGCACTTTACAGCTTCTCTTTGGCCTAATTGAATTGCCAGTATCTCTATCTTGGTGCTTTGGGGCCATTATTAAGTAAAACAATGAGGGAATGTGTTCTCTTTTGGTTCCACAAGGGGGTGGAATTTCTAGGGCAAGAACTTACCGGAGCCATATTTTCTCCCCCTCCCATCCATCTTCAATCTGGAAATTCAATGTTTAAATTTCTCCAGCATGGGAAGAAACTAAGAGTCAATCACCCCAGCGGAAGTTTAAAGGAACTCCTTTCATTGGCCAGAAGAGCTTCGGGAGGTGGGAATTTCTCCCAGGATAAATTCCCCTGCTCCTTCACCAATACCGGATTTCCAGCTCTCTGAAATCCCCTCCCACATAGTGGGAGCCCTCTTTCTCCCCTGGATTTTCCCTTTGGAGTCCCCTTCCACCCAGTGTGGAAGCTGCTTTTCCTCTCCTAAACTCCATCTCTCTCTCTCGATTCCCTTCCACTCAGTGTGGAAGCTGTCTTTCCACTCTCGGATTCCACTTTTCTGGATTCTCTCACTCAGTGTGAGAGGAGCTTTCCTGGTCTGGTTTTCCCCTCTGGGAACCCTTCTTACAGTGTGAGAGTGGCTCTTCTTTCTCCTCACTCAGTGTGAGTTAGCTGTTTCTCTCTCCTTCTTTTTCTCTCTCTGCTTTAGATAAATCACTTTCTACCAACACTTTTGAGTCTGGCATTTACTTTTATAAGCACACTACAGCATGCTCTCCTAGAGGGCATAGAACAAGAACCTGGAGAAATATCCTCTCAGGGGAACTTAGGGCACCCCTGAACCCCTGAAGCCCAATATAACAATAAGAGCTACTTGAACACAAGCACTGAAATACTGTAACAATGTATCTGATACGCTGCTACTAAGTGAATAGCAGGCAGGTGATGTATACAGTGTGGATGCACTGTACAGAGGGATGATTTGTGTCATAAATAGGACAAATCTTACGATGACATAAGATTTCATCATGCTACTTTGAATGCTGTCCAACTTAAAAGCTTATGAATTGGCCGGGGTGGTGGCTCACGCCTGTAATCCCAGCACTTTGGGAGGCTGAGGCAGGCAGATCACCTGAGGTCAGGAGTTTGAGACCAGCCTGTTGAACATGGTGAAACTATCTCTACTAAAAATGCAAAAGTTAGCTGGGCATGGTGGTGGGCGCCTATAATCCCAGCTACTGGGGAGGCTGAGGTAGGAGAATTGCTTGAACCTGGGAGGCAGAGGTTCCAGTGAGCCGAAATTGTGCCACTGCACTCCAGCCTGGGCGACAGAGCTTGACTCCATCTCCAACCAAAAAAAAAAAAAAAAAAAACAACCTTATGAATTATTTATTTCTGAAATTTTGTATTTAATAATTTAATTTTGGGTCACTTGACCACAACTGAAAACACAAAAAGCAAAAATGTGGATAAGAAAAGATTACTATATGACACATTAAAGAGGTCAATTCATCAAGGAGATATAACAATTATGTTACATTTATGCATCTAACAAGTCTCAAATACATGAAGAAAAACCAGACAGAATTGAAGGGAGGAATCGATAATTCAATAATAATAGTTGGAGCCTTCAGTGTCTAACTTTCAATAGTGGCTATAACAACCACACACACACACACACAAAAAAAAAAAAGAGAGCGAGAGAAACAAGGGCATAGAATATTTGAACAATACTATAAACCAATTATATTCACGTATAGTGAATGCTCACTCAACAGCAAAATAGACATTTTTTTTCAAGTGCACATGATAAAATATTTTAGGACGAAAAAATCAAATTTTAAAAAATTGAATCGTATAAAATATTTTTGTTAATCACAATAGAATGAAATTAAAAATTAATAGCAGAAGGAAATCTTACAAAAATGTGGAAATTAAACATAGTCTTAAAGAATGGATAAAATAATAAATTATGAAATTGAAAAATTCTCTGAGCTGAATTAAAATAAAAATACAGCCTATCAAAGCTTATGCAAAGCTGTGAAAATAGTACTCAGAGGAAAATCCTTAGTGCATTTGAGCTGCAATAACAAAACACTATAAACTGGCTGACTTTATAAATTATAAAATTTATTTCTTACAGTTCTTAAAGCTGGGAACACCAAGATCAAGATGCTGGTAGACTCAGTGTCTAGTGAGGACCAGGTCTGTGTTTCATAAATGGCTTCTTCTAGCTGTATTATCACATGCTAAAAAGGGGAAAAGCAACTCTCTGGGGGCCTATTTATAAAGGCACTAATCCCATTCATGAGGTTGGCTCCACCTTTATCACCTAAGTATTTTTCAAAGACCTTACCTTCTAACACTGTCACCTTAACATGTGAATTTTAGGGAAACACACCGTTTGGACCACTGCAAACATGTATAGCTATAAACGCCACATTAAAAAAGAAGGAAGGTCTCAAATTAACAACCCAGCTTTACACCTCAATGAGCCATAAAAAGAAGAGCAGACAAAATAAAAAACTAGGAAAAGAAAATAATAGTGATTAGATATCAAATAGTGAAATGAAAAATAAAAAGAATAAGCAAAACCAAGAGTTGGCTATTTGAAAAGATTTTTAAAATTTACAAACTTTTAACTAGTGTGAACTTCAAAAAAAAGAGGACTCAAATTACTAAAATCAGGAACAGACATGAGGATATTACTACCACCATTATTGAAATTGAAGAGTATTATAAGAGAATAATGATATGAACAACTGTACACCAACATATTGCATAACCTAGATGAAATGGATAAATTCCTTAGAAACACAGACCCTATCAAAATGATTCAAGAAGAAATATAAAACTGACTATACCTAGAACAGATAAAGAGATTGATTCTATAAGCAGAAAACTTTCAACAAAAAAAAGTCCAGGGTCAAATTATTTAACTGGTAAATACTACCAAATACATAAAGTCAAATTAACACCAATCTTTTTCAAAATCTTCTGAGAAATGGGAGTGAAGACTTCCTAATTTGTTCTGTGAAGCTAATATTAACCTACAACTAAAGCCAAAGGCATTCCAAAAAAAAAAAAAAAAAAAAAAAACAAACAAACAAAAAAAAACCTGCAGACCAATACTACTCATGAATAAATGCAAAACTCTTCAATTAATGGAATCTAAAACATATTAACAGGTTCATACAGCACAACCAAGTAGGGGTTATGCCAATTTTACAGGTGGTTTATCACAGGAAAATTATTATATATAATATCCCAGATGACAGAATGAAGATAAAAATCAGATCATCTTTATTGATATGAAAGGCATTTGGCTTTTTAATTAAATATTCAAGTTTTGAAATAATATCATTGTTATGTATAAGTCTTGAGAAGATTTCCAGAGGAAGAAAAACTGTAGCAGGCATACTAAAAAGTAAGCATTGCTTCTCATTTGCTGAAAGGCTGGGACTACAAGTGGGGCATTGTGATTCTAAAGAAAAATGTGAATCTTGTAAATCCAGACAGTAAGAATTTTAATTATGTGAGTTGAAAATGTAGAGAAAGGAGGAGAAAAGGTGGAAATTAGTTTAGCATTTTGATATTTGCATAATTTATAATTTGAGGTCAAATATTATCTTAAACTGATAAAGTGAAAATCTCTGATCAATTAAAATAAGATCGTAGAGGGGAAGAAGTTTAAGAAGTAGAGGTAGGGAGGAAAACACTATTTTTGTTAATGTTCATAGAGAACAGTCAAAAAATATGGTCAAAAATATAATATAAAATATCATATCATATTGTGTCTATAAAGTTAGCTTCAAAATATGACACGTCTTGTATCCATGCAAGGTAGAAGGAAAGCGCCATGCTCTGAGTTCCAAATTAAGAGTCCTTTATTAATTAGCCATCAACCGAGAGATGGCTAATACTCAAAATTCTCTTGGCCCTGAGGAAGGGGCTTGATTTTCCTTTATACCTTGATATAAGTAGGGGAGGGGGAGCCTAGCTGAAGCAGAATTTTACAGAAGCAGAAGAAGCAAGTTAGATAAGGAAGCTGGTAACCAGGGTCCAGGAAGTTCCCAGGATTGTTGGTTGCTAAGAGTATTTCCATACAATCATCAAGGGAGGTAGCAGGGGTAACTTTCCCTACAATCAATCACCAGGGAAGGTATTCACAATAGCAGGTAGACTTGCCAAGCAGGATGCGGTTACAATGGTTATAGGTACTGTGAACAGTGTGAAACACTCTTAATGGTTCAAAGCTTTGAGTGTAGCCTGAACCAGTAATGCACCTGAGGGGGTCGAGGCAGGGAGGGAGAAGCTAAGCTGGAGCTTACTGCTGAGATGGAGTCAGTTAGGCTAACACAAACTAGGTAATTACACATATAAACCATGGAATACTATGCAGCCATCAAAAAGAATGAGATCCTCTCTTTTGCAGGGACATGGATGGAACTGGAGGCCATTATCCTTAGCAAACTAATGCAGAAACAACCACAAAAAAACACACTGCATGTTCTTACTTATAAGTGGGAGAAAAATGGTGAGAACACATGGATACAGAGAGAACAACACACACTGGGGCCTTTCAGAGGGTGGAGGGTGGGAGGAGGAAGATGATCAGGAAAAATAACTCATGAGTACTAGCCTTAGTACCTGGGTGATGAAATAATCTGTACAACAAACCACCACGACACAAGTTTACCTATGTAACAAACAAGCACATGTACCCATGAGATTAAAAGTTAAAAAAACAAAAAATAAAAAACACAAAAATGTTTATGTTCCCTTTTCCCAGTGGACTATTACAAAGTTCTTAAAAAGTGTTGGACACCCCTACATATACAGGTATTAAAAGACCTTCTAGATTAAGGATCAGCAAATAGTTTTTTTTTTTTTTTTTTTTTTTCTTTACAGTACCAGAGTAAATATTTCAGTCTTTGGAGGCCATAAGGTCTCTGTTGCAACTATTCAGTTTTGTTTTGGTAGCATGGAAGCAGCCATAAACAAGACAGCAATAAATGACCATGGCCTCATTCTCATGAAACAAAAGATGGGCTAGAGTTGATCTATGGGCTGCAGTTTGCCAAACTCTGTTACAGCTAAATGGTAAGAGAAAAAAATCAAGGGACAAAATAGTATGTACAAATATGATTTCATTTATATAGAGGAGAATATGTGTATACTTATTTATGTATTAAATAAAACTTTATAGATACGTATATGCATATTACAAGTATAATATACTTATTACAAGTATTATATTATACTTGTAATATGCATATACTTATCTATATAGCTGAAGCAGAATTTTGCAGAAGCAGTATACATATATACAAACAAAAAACTAGTAACAGTGATTTCCTCTACAGAGGGTAACAGAACTGGGGACAGGCTGAAAAGACAGCATACATTTCACTGAATACCAACATGCACATTTTCAATTTTACATGATGCTCATGCATACCTATTTTTAAATAATAAAAAATTAAGCATTTTAAAATAAAATAGAAATACAGAAAATAAAAATTGAATTAATACAGAGTATCAACAAAGCCAAAAGTAAATTTTGAGACTGATAAAATAAACACACTTTTATAGTATAGATGTTAAACAATAGGGGTAGAAATAATGCTCAACAAAATTTGCAATATTTTTTATTAAAGACACCTTAGGCAAATTTATTTTCATGACACAGGCACACACATTCTGTGTAATTAGTAAGGATGCCCTGATGAAACGCGTAAAGTAAATTAACCGTAAAAGTTACCACAAACTTTTCTAAGTAGAGCCATATGGCATATTCCATAATTTGTCTATAGAATCGGTCTTATTAAATATTTTTATGCCACTATGCCAAAGGAGAGCATGAATAATTTTGAATTTAATGTTAGATTATGCTATGAATCTTAGTGAAAATTTTTTATGTATGTTTTGTTTTGTTTTGTTTTGTTTTGTGTTTTCACAGTAGGGCACATCACTAAGAAGCATTGATGTAAACTATCAGGAACTGGCGTAAAAAAGTAGGCAACATTTGCCACACATTTTTCAATCCAAATGAAAATAACTTTTAAAAATTCCAGTGCTAAAATGCAGGTTCCTTTACATTTTATTGGCTCTTTTACAATTAGAGAAATGCAAATAAGATATTCAGCAATAGTATTTTAGCCATATATGGTTATTGTCTTTACTTATATGAGAAGCTGTAACACATAGGCAGATTTAACTTATTTCTTTCATTTATATAGTACATCAGAATACCCTTTATAATCTCATTTTATTTCATCCTCAAAACACTTGAAGATAGTCACACATTTTAAAGTTGCACATTTTACAGATGAGAGGTGGTTACTCAAATTATGCAGCATGTTATTGCTATAATTTTGCTAGAGAGTTTTTAGGCCATTGATGGTAAAACTAATTACAAGCCTTCTGTGGACCATGCACTTCGAGATAGACTGCAAAACAGCAATGATCAAGATAAATTCCTCTGCCCCATCAAAGTGAACCTCTCTCTCTCTCTCTCTCTCTCTCTCATTGTTGTAAGAGTTCCACTTAATCATTAGAAAAACAATCTTGCACACTAAAGTAAAAACGTTCTATTTCTCAGTGAGATCAAAGGCCAGGCCATTTTGATCCCTTCACGCCACCATTTGTTCCTAGGGACTGCTGAAACTTGACACAGCTTCATCAACTGTAGCCACCACTTCTGTGCTGGCCCTCTTCATCCCCTCCCCATCCATGATATAATCTGCATTTTAAGATAAGAATTCTCAAAGTCATTTCTGTCCAACAATAGTGAAAGCTCTGGAGGTTTCCCTATTTTTCCCCATACGTCCATCTACATAAGTTGTTTCTCCCCCCTTTTTAAAATAAGAAACTCGGGTTTGAAATTAGATGACATTATTACAAGGTTAGGTGGGCCATGTGCTAACCATAGTTTGTCAATCTTATTTTTCTTTTTTCTTGGTACTACTAAAGCCTCTGGACAAAATGTCCCCACATAAATACTGATTGAATGCTACAGGTTTCCGTTTTCAGATTGCAAACCACAAACAAGAAGTTCATGTATCACTTTGTTAAGTCAAAGTCACGTTCAACAGAAAGTTTTTTGAAATGAAAATAGATGATGCTATCAGTCTGTTACTAATTAATATGAAACCTTGATTGAAATGCTTTATTTTGGAAAAACACTTAGCAATAGTGTTTTTTCCCTTGAAACAATATTTTATCAGTTTGGTAATATATGCCTAAATTAAATTGAACAGTATCTTCTTTTGAGACTTATGGTGTATACTTTTATTTTCCAGACCAAAAGTTTTATCAAAAAATGTTATTCGACTAAATTGACATTTTTGGTTTAGGTTTTTGTATTTTTTATATGCATAAATTTAATGGGTGCAATTTTGCAATGTGAATATACTGTATAGCAGTGAAGTTTTTTTCAGAAATTATGTTCTCTATTAAGTACACTGTTATAG